GGGGGCGATGCTCGCCAAGGCGGGCAGCGGAGCGCTGGTCGTCAAGGTAACGGCGCGGCTGAATGCGCCGGGTGGATTCCTGCGCCCTTCGCGGCTTCAGGGATCGCCCCGTAACTGCTGCGGCGCTGGGGCTCTCGGCAGCGGTCCGGGCCCCGTGGTGAGCGGACGGGATCGCGGAGGGAAGCCGCCTGCGGAGCGGAGGTCAGCGGTGTCCTGAGAAGCGCCGTTTCTCTGCGCTTGCTGCCGCTGGGTCGGAGGGAAGCGCTTCAGGCCTGTGCCCATCCTCCCAACAGGGCACTCTAGGCTCGGGGAAGCCGTGCAGCAATACCAGTAGAGCTGCTCTTAACAGAAAAGCGGCTTGTGTCTCCTGGATCGCGTATTTACGGCTTGATCTGCACCAGGAGCTTCCACTAGTATAGTTACTTGAGTTGGGAGAGTTGCACCTCTTTGTGCCCGTGATTGAGGTTAAATTTGTGGTGGGAGAGCTGTAGTAGCTGCCCACAATATTGACCTGTATATGTCTGAGATGACAGTATAAAAAAATACTTGGGGATTTTGTAGTTCAGAACAAAATGGCAACAGTGGGAAAAAAAAAATCAGTGGGGACCAAAACTGGCAAGAATTAAACCCGAAGATGTTTGGAGTATTTTGCTCAAAAGGGACTTCGTACTAGTCACCCTCCAGTCTGTGACCCAGAAAGGGGCCAGTTAGGAAGCTATTTAGGCTGTGTTATGCATATAAGTATATAAAACCAAACCTTATCCCTTCTTTCCACCTCTTTTATTTCAAGCAAGGTAAGATTTCCCATTGTGTTGCTTGCTCTTAGAATGAAAACAATTTGCTATTCCCTTCTAATAAATTATGAGGCTGAAAGAAAACAGTAGTGAATACAGTGGTATAAGCCATTCATAAATAATCCCCATAACACTGAGAGTTGAAACTTCACAAAAAAACCTGGAAATTACCTTTAGGCCTGCAAAGACTATCTTATAAGCTTGATATTTTTTCTATTAATGCTCACAAAGTCATCACATGCTTGCTTTCATGTAAATTACTGAAATGACGGCAGCTTGTTTGCTTTATCCATAGGAAGCTTTTCATCAGGAGTGTTAAAATACAGCGGCTTTTGGGTGTGGGGGGGTAAAGTTTCTCACCTTCGCAGCTGCACGGGAAAGCTTTTAAAGACAACTCAAAACCAGGGACCAAAAATATCGTTATGGAGCAGATAGACACAGCATGTGTTTGCACTGATTTATGCACAGGTTGCCTGAAGAAGCTTGAGCCATGATTGCACGTACTCGAGTTAGCAATCTCACAGCACATCGGCAAACCCCACTTAAAATTAGGTGAGGCAGAAGGCAAAACTCCGGGTGGATTTAAGTGCTACACACCCCACCTCCTCCTTTCCCAATCTGGCCTCGTTTATATAAGCCCATGTATAATTTATATGTGCACCCGCATTTGTAAAACGCTCCAGATCTGAGCATCTCCCTACCTCAGAACCCTCAAATTTCGTGCTTAAAAAAAACCCCAGGTGTGGCGGGGGATTGCGTTCAGTTGCTGCAGGAAGCGGCGCTCCAGCCGAGGGGGCCGGTCCGGGGCCTGCTCCCAGGCGCCCTCGGCAGCGCCCGGAACGGAGCGACCGGCAGTCAGCGAGGCGGTGAGTGGGGGCCAGGGGGACTCGGGCTGCTCCCCTCCCTCTTCCTGCCCCCGTAAGAGCCTGGCTGGGGGGGAGCCAGGCGACTCTCCTCTCCTAACGTGTCGCCCGTTCCGCCGCCTGCTGCTTCAACTGGGAGCTGGCATGCATGGAGGAGTGGCAGCGCCGGGGAGCCTGGAGGAAACAAAGGAGGGAGCTTCCTCCGCCCTTTGGCCTCCCTTCACTTTGCTGCCCCCATCTCTCTTCAGCCCCTTTCGCGGAGGGGTACTGGGAGAGAAACAAATGCTTATGTGTCCCTAAGCTGGGACAGGGGTGGCTTTGCTGGCGTTCCCAGTAACGCAACTGGTACAGGGAAAACAGTGGCACTTGCTGCTTGCCTTACTGTAGGGGATGAAGATGGAGCCGAGATCCGGGTGGATAACGCTTATCCACAGGCAGTGGAAGGGCTTGGACACAAGGGATGTGCCAGCGCACAGAGCAAAGGTGGTAAACTTCTGCCCTCGAGGAACAGGGGTCCGGAAGGTTTTGTAAAGGGGCAGAGCTGCATCAAACTTTCCATGATTTTGAGGCTTTGCCCGTGTACCTTTACAAACAAGTGATCTGGGTGGGAAACTACGGAACTGCAGCAATGTGCAAAGCACATGTGTGAATGTTTGCTTTTTAAAAAAGCAAATTGTGCCTAAGACTAATAGAAGATCTTTACCTGGAGGCAAACTCGGTTCTGACAGTGAAGGGCAAAGCTTCTGCTAATTGCTCTGGCTATTTTCTAGGTGTAGGAAATATGAATGACTGGCAGAGGAAAAGCCCTTTAGACTGGGAGAAGTATGTGAACAAAATGGTGAAAGTTGCTGCAATTGAGAAACATGAATATGAAGGATGGGTCTTAACAGTTGATCCAGTTTCTGCTAGGTAAGTACCAAAGCTTTTGTTTCTGTAAAGCTAAAAGAAAACATTTTCAGCAAGATAAAAGATACCAAGACTGAAGCAAGCTTATTTGGACCAAAACCTGCATGTGTTGAACAGGGCTGCATGTCCTGTTGTTTTTAATGGGCAAGGTCTAAGAGAAAGCAGTATAGTAGTTGATGAGGCCAGTTCACCTAAATCCACATTAATCTCAGAGGGATGATAAATTTGGGGAATGGGTAATGTCTGGATTCATGCTGACTTTTTAGTGGACCCGAGGTTAGTAATTATATCCGCTGGTTTTAATAATATACCACGTCCTGCTTCACAGAGAGAGCAGGAATGTTTTTAATGCTTTAGGTGTTGAAATGCTTATCCTCTGTCCAGATGCCTTACTTTCCCTTGCAGCTGGACACCCATGAGGGTGTAGTTAGTGCCTGCTTTGGAGAGAAGTAGGGAAAATCAGCAAGAGCACTGGACAGAAAGTGGTACCACAGGTCTTTAGTATCTCGAGTAACTTGAAAATGGGGTTTGAAAGGCAGAACGCACCAGGGAATAGGCAGAAATTTGGCTTCTTGCTGCCAGAGCTTTTTGTACCTTTTTAGTTGCAAGCTTGTCCCACATGAGCACAAGATGGAGGCTAGAAACTAAAATATCCAGCTCCTGATGTATTTCAGAAGAATTGGTTGTTGCTTCAACTCTGAAGTAGCTCCAATACTCTTCTCTTCGAGTTGCTTATCATTTTGGTAAGAAAGGTGTGCATAGCTGTGGGTGATTCTGCAGATGATCCTGACTAAAATCAAGGCATATTTCAATGCGCATTTCCCAGAAAGTCGTTGCTTCCACTAATGTGGCAACAGTAGATTAGCAAAGTGCTGGCATCAAATTCTTGAATTTTTCTTCCCAGAAAAGGAAGAAGATGATTTGGGATCCCCTTTGTTGATATATGGGGAAGAGATCCTAGAAATATAACAAGCTGCTTTCCTACATGTATTTTAGGATTTCTGGGATGTAATGTGCCCTTGGGAAAAGACCAGGCTGCTACAACATGAGCCTGAACCTGCTGTAGTGTGTTCCCATTGTAATACTCAAGCTATAGTTTTCAGTTAAGAAACTGAAACTCATTTAAAAAAAAATTACTCTTCTAATAATGATCAATAATTAAATATTAATAATTTATCATTGAAAGGTTCTGATGTTTTTAGCTGCCACCACTGCCTTCAGCATTTGAAGTGCTGAATGTATGAAGGTGTCACTGGTTTTGAATGTCTGAAGACTTAAGGTTTTGCAGCAAGGCTGGGTATGCTGCACAGTATGTAGACTCCCAGCCCTGATTTTAGCGTGCACTTTTAAAAGTAATGTTTTGCTTCATGGTATCTAGAGTAGCTCCAGATTCAAGGCCAGCTGTTTCCTGCAAAGCTGCACATTTTCAGTATTTTAAGGGTATAGCAGCATGCTTTTTGAGAAAAATGCTGGGTACTCCATACTGTGTCATGCTGATACTAATGAGCACTCATGATGGAGAATCTTGGCCTGTGTTTCTCAGTCTTTAGTTAAGTACAGTGACTCATACATCATTCTTTCCTTGGCAGTGTTGTCCTTGCAACATTCCTGGAGAATGAAAAAGTGTCCATATCGGTTGTCTTGGGCCATGCTGTCCAGGAGGTTGAAATACTGAAAGAAGGGGATGATGAAATGAAGCAACGGCTTTCTTGCATATTTGTGCCTGAAGAAAGCAAAGCCTACAGCCCAGGGGAACTTGAAAAGAGGAAGAATGACTTGAAGACTTGGCTAGAAACAAACCACATCCCTGTAACAGAGCAAGGTGAATCAGGAAGAACACTATGCGTGATGGGAGTATTAACTATTGACCCACCATATGGCCCAGAAGAGTGCAGCAGCTCCAATGAGATTATTCTGTCTCGAGTTCAAGGCTTGATACAGGGCTATCTTGAAAGACACCAGTGATGTCTGCTGTGTTAAAAGCAGTTGTCTTTAGGAATGGGTCTACCCATGCTATTTTAGGAACTGTCTCTGGATATCAATATTCAAAATTTGCAAAAATGCTGGGTTTAGGTACTTTTGTCTGATTTTTGTATGTTAAGAAAGGGATAAAACAGTATAAACTAAAACAAAGCATTTTTAATACACTATTTTTTATTAAAAGCTAGCCATTGGAGAGCAATGATGTATTAAACTGATATATATCAGTTTAATATTAAACTGATATCAGTTTAATAAATATTTTTGTAACATTATTGTGAAAGATGATAGATTATAAATTTTAAACTGTGTTTTCCTCTGCCTTTAAAATTAATTCAATTAATTAGTGGTGTAGGCATGTTTGTTTGAACTGTGTGCCAGAATTTTGTTTCAGAAAGAGAATTGTGACACTTGAACTTCCCAAACCAGATGAACAAATTGTTCAGAAGGCTTTTTTGTTTTGTTTTTTTTTTTTCTTTTTTCCCCCACAACTGTTCTGCTTTAGAACATAAATTATAATCTAGGTCCAATTTTGTAAAATTATTAGGGAACATTAGCAGGCAAATAGGCTTTAAAAACATTTCCTATCTATATTTGTTATTTTAGAGCAGCAGTGATTGGAAGACCTTTGTTCCTTACAATTTCTTTCAGTTCATCAAGTTTGTGTTTCTTCATGCTTTGTTTCTATCTTATGGCAACACACAACACAAGAAGCATTGTGTGATTTTTCCCGAGATAATTAATCCAGTCAGGAGCCTTTAGAGTCTTAAGAGTTCCGTTTTATGAAACAGCACCAAAACATGTTAGTGGGCTGAAATAAATTTGAAAAGTTTTTCTAACCTGTTAATAAAAGGCCCTCCTCATTCCTGCTGTACTGTATTTAACTTTGGTCAGGTTCTTCCTGATTTTTCTTAAAAATCATCTATTGCACATATGTTCTTGTGTGTGTCTCCCTGAAAAAGTTGGTAGATGCAAATGCACAAATGCTTCAGCTGCCTGTCTGGATAAGGGGATTGCTCAGTGCCTGAACTCCAGGGCACCCAAGGCTAGCTGAGGTGTTTGGTGTGAGACCCAGTATCACCTCAAACTCCACTCGAGAGATTGAAGAACAGCTTGAGAATGCCTTGTTACAAGGAAGGTAACACCTCTTACCTCCCTGCCAGGCAGTAAGAAGCCTGCTATGCTTCTTTACCTCTAGCCTCAGCAGGGCCAGATTCTGAATTACTGGTCTCCTGTGAGGAGCAAGGACTGGTTTGTGTCTCTACTGCCTCTGAAGTGAGGACCTTAACAAAATGGATGCAGGACAACTAAGAGAGACACTGGACAGCCGGGATAATGCAATGAAAGGGTGGACTCTCAGCGGGAGGGACTCTTTAAGGAAGGAGTTGAAACTACTGAGTCCCAAGATAAGGGACAGGACTCAGCGAATACTGAGTTATCCTGATTATGGAAATACTAATTGGGTAAAAAGTCACAAGAGGAAGAGGAGGCATCTTGATTCTTCTTCCTGAAGACGTACAACTACCAGGAGCCACTGTGCAGGCGTAACTAGGAGACCAGGGCAGAGCACATGAAAATGATTTATTAGAAATAATTATAATAAACCCCACCTTTTTGTGGAGAGATCACGAATATGTACAGGTGTTTTTGGAACTAATGAATATGTAACACTTCACTGTATAAAGCCAAGTCCGATTACCACATTGGGTGTGCACACTTGTGGAGGAGCGATCCTCCATGCACCCAGTGCTTCAGTAAAGACTACCTGCTTTCAGATACTCCGATTCCGAGTCTTAAGAGTTTTTCCTCGACTGGCTTTTTGGAATCACCTCGTTATACCACTGTGTCTTCCTCACAGCCGGGTGTGCTACAGGCAGGAGCTCTGGCATAGGGCTGGCCGGGGCACGTGACCTGTAACCGTGGCAAGCCTCACAGCTATGGCCACAGGGGAGCAGGCACGACCAGCTTTCTTAGAGGAAACCATCCGGGAAAGGCGCCCCCGCCTCGTAAACGGAACCTCAGTCCACGACTCCTACCCTGAACTGTGCCCCGCCCTGCAGTGCGCATGTGTACCCAGCCCGCCGCCGTTGTCGCGAGACCTGCCCTCGCCCGAGAAGCGGGGTTGTCCCGTCCCCTCGCCTCGTTGCCAAGCGACCGGAGCCCCGCCCCA